ACCCGGTGGCTTAAAACTCACGCCGGGCACATGTGCGTGCGTACCCGAGATCCCGAGAGGAGAATGGAGGATAAGGTATTGTGGTGTGGCCATCCCCCCGGGGGGTGATTTCTCGCTTTCTGTCTCTCTGTCTGGTGAGCGCATGCGCCCTATAGCAAAAACCTCTCCAAAATAAAAAAAAGAGGGGCCAGCAGGTGGCATAATGGTTAAGGGTGCAATTCGAATCCTGGACCACATGGCTTGCTTTCTCACTCTCCCTCCTCCCACGACCTCGCTCTGTCCCTCTCTGGTCAAATTATTAAAAAAAAGAAAGAAAAGAAAAAAAATCACAAAGAAAAGTACACAGTAGAGTGCTTGGTAAACAGATCCTCAAGAAATGGCTATTGGTTTTGATTCTAGATTTTGGTCAACCAGACCTGTCTAGAAAGTCAGAGAACACACCACTTGCTGTCTTTCCGGTCAGTTTCCTGCCGCAGCCCCACTAGTCAGATCCCACCCTGGGATAAGCATCGCAGTGCCAAGGGGTCATCTTCAGCAAGATGCCCAGTCAGAGCAGATGTGCTCTCCGTATCCTCTGCTGTGGCTCCAACGAACTCTCTGAAAGGCCCCATCTGACCTTTCTGGGAAGGCAGTAGGAGCCTCCACCCCCAGCCCCACCCCGAACTTTACCTGAGGGCCTCCAGCCGCTGTGTCTGGGACAGGTTGCCATGCAGCTCGCCCACCTGCAGCCCCATGAGCCCCAGGACGATGTGCATGCGGTGGGCTTGCTTCTTGGTCTGGGTGAACAGCATCACATGATCAGTGAACGTTCTTGTCAACAAAGCTGGTGGGCAGAAAAGAGGGAGCTAGCAGCTGTTTCTAGGCCCAAATTCATATATTCCTCCTCACCCAAGAAGTACGGGGGCTGGGGCTGTGCCTTGGGGAGACAGGCCCCGTCACAAGCCCTTGGGGTTCACCCTCCAAGACAGAAACAGAGAAGCCAATTCTGAGGGTGATAAATGCCAGAAGAGAGCAGCAGGGGAGGGGAGGCAGCCTCAGGGATGGCCTCTCTGAAGAGACATGGGGTTGAATTACAAGGGAGTTTATCCACAGGAAGACAGGGGAAGAGACCAAGCAGAAGAAAAGGTCTGGAGGCATGAGTAGGCTTGGTGGGTGAGCATGCGCAAGCAGGTCGATATGGCCAAGCCATGAGCCAGCCCACGCCAGGGAAGCTAGCCAGGCACAGGCCAGGCCCTGCAGCACCTGGAGGACTTACTAGGAGTTCAGATTTCAGTCTAAGGGCAAAGTCGGCCACCTCATATTAAATAAGGGGCAAGTAGAGCAAATGTCCTTTGGCAAATGACATCTGAACTGATCAGCAGCATGGAGGACGAACCACAAAGGGCCAGGACAGAAGCAGCAAGACCAAGTGACAGATGGTGGTGACCACACCGGTCACAGACGGCAGCAACCTGGACTTGCAGTTGGGAGTTCAGCAGGACATAGAGGTCTGGACACG